CTCATGTTCTTGATTATATTCTAGTCTATATTTTTGTTGTCTGAATTCTTTTCTATCTGAATAAAACCAATTTAAAAGTTAAATTATTATCTGAGAATTCGTTAGCTGTACTGAACACTTAAATTTAATTTTTAATAACAAATTTTAATAGATAAAAGTTAATTATCAACATACATAATTGCAATAGAAGAATCCAAGTTTCATATATATAAATAAAAATCAATGATTAAAGGAAACTGATAATAACAATTACGAACATAATATTAATTGCTATAAAATTTAATAAAAATTACTTAAGATGATGATATAATTTTAATTAGTGCCTGTTTTGTGTATTAGCCTATAACCTGAATATAATTATTATAACAAAATATAATCATAATTATAATTACTAAATGGATAATATTGAGTAAAAGAAAAGAAAATATTTATCATATGTTATTCTTTTATTTATGTCTTATCCACAATAGTTGTTTTGATATTAATGATGACAAACAATGAAACTTACCACCTGCTATCAATTTTCGACGAGAGACTTTTACTTGATTAGATCTATCTATAGGTTGCCAAATAACATCTATCCATTGAGACATAGGAATTCTGTATCCACTACTAACAAGTATTCATCTCTCTGCTTTCTAGATGCCATCAACTTTTTGGAAACCACACCCTAAGATTATGAATGATCCTTTTCTTTACTTTCATCGTTCATATCAAATAAGGGGACAATTTACTGAATACCTCTACAATCTTATAAAGAAAGGTTAAGTAACAAGGATCATCTAACCCACAGGTGTATAGTAATGGCAGACATCATTGCCTACCCTAAGTCTACAAGTCGGATATTATTTATTATATTACATTTGTCAATATGTTAGAGTTGTGATAGAATAATAAATTTTATTGTTCATTTTTTTAATTTTAATTAAAATTTGTGTATTCTACGAATAACTTTTAACAGATTAATAATTTTTTTATGAGAAACAATAAGTAAATTATTTCGTTTTTTTTTAATTTTCTATTCTTGCATATTGAATTGTTTAATACTTTTATCATTTTTTATAAGTTAATTTTCGTTTTGTAGATTAGAAATTTTTTTTTAATTTTTGATTTTCTTGGTAGCAAAAAATCAGAATTACTAGAATAGAAAAATTATTAACAGAAATCACGCAAAGATAACATGAAATAAATATCTTTTCATTTACTTAAACAATGGATAGAACTGACAAAATGTCATTTGGAATGTAAAGAATTCAATAAATAATATGTAATTTAAAAAAGAAATGGAAAAAATTTTTACTTAGATATGTGTGATGAAACTTGTTGAACTGTAAGAATTCCAGTCATCAATATTTTCTTCCATTATTTTTTGTTTTATTTAAAAAATTCAGTATTTGTTAGCAGCATCACTATTATTTTACCTGTACAGAATAATAAAAAAATGCTGGTTGTTAAAATGTTGTTGTTTATCATCTGAGAAATTAAAATAATCCTGATTTTAATTATAATTTCTAATATAAAATGTAATTAAAATAATTAGGATTTAAAAATTAGCTTGACAAAATAAGCGATCACAGAAATTGAATGCTTACTGTTGATCAGTTTATACTGTTTAAAGTATTTTCGTATAAGCAACGATGGATTAAAGTTACGATCTAAAATGAGGATTTGGCTAATTAAATTCTCGCGTCATTTGTTCTTTAGATTGATTTTACTGAAAAATATTCTAAAATAAATTTCAAATGGCAATTTTATTCCCTTCGACGACGTCGTTATTGACATTAAAACTAATTAATGTACGATAAAAGGATGTCAAGTAAGTGCATTTTGAAGTCGACAGTGACAATAATTAAAGGAATAACTTTAAAAAACTCTATAAATAATGAATGAAATTTCAAAGAAAGCGAATTTGTGTCATTTATATCTAAAAAAATATCTGAGAAAATATTCGCAGTCGCTCATAAGCTGTTTTGTATTTATTTTTTAATTGATAATAATCAGATAAATGCCGAAACTCCTTTCATGATAAATGAAATTCTTGTAATTTCGTAATGTTTAAAACATTTTCTAAGAAACAGGAGAAGATAATCACATTTAGGTATTTAAACATTCCGCATCAAAAGAGGTCAAGTCGTGACAAAGAATAATGAAAATAAATGATTCATTATTATTACTAATTAATTAAACTCAATAGTTTAAATATAGAGAAAGATAATCATATAATTCTCTTAAAGTATTAAACATTATTATTAATAAAATTTAATCTTAAAAGTTAAGAAAAATTCGATTATATTTCTGATAGATTTTCGCAGATAGATATGCTAGTGATCTATAAACTAATGTTTATATATGGTGTTGAGTAAACGTGAGTTTACGTTTAGGTATGTCGCAAGAATAAAATATAGATTTTTCTCCCATAGGAGTAAGAAGGAAAGGGCTATGTATGTTTTGTTATTTCTAAATAAAAGTAACATTTTAAGAGAAAAACATTATTAAATATGAAAATTACTTGTATAAGTTTCAAAAATATCAGTCAGCATTATTACGTATATATATATATAACATTTTTAAAAAATTGTGTTTTTATCGCATATTTGTTGCTTATCCTTTTTTTCTATCAACAGAAATAGTGATATTTTGGAGATTAACCTTTTTATTCTTTATAGATGTAATAATAGTAACGTAATAGCTTCGTCATCATTTCGTAACAATAAAGAAATGATGATTTGTAAGGGTACATAATAGAGATATAACGTAATAATGATATAAATTTACTCGGATAGAATACAGGATAATGGTAGGGGATTTTCGTCCAATGTGGCAACAAAATAGCTATAATAAAGAAAAGTAAAATTTGATCTAGAATTTTCTTCTTGAAAAAAATACGTGAAAAATACTAGCGATTCTTAAAATTTTCAATTCTAGTTTCACTTCGTAGAACATGATCTTTGAAGTTTCTGTCTTTGTAATAGTTTAAAATTATATCTCAAGGCTTGAACAGGATTGGAATTTTTATAAGTTTTTTTTGTCTTGCTGTATGTCTTTCCACTTCTCTTTGAATAAAGTAAAAATTGAGTTGTGAAATAACGGAAATCAACAAATACTTCACTGTACTTTTTTCCTCTTCTTCACATATTCTATAGTGTTGATATTTCTAACAAGTGTTTACAGCTTTTTGATGATTTACATTCATTTCTAGTTTTTCTAAACTAAGTTTTTTAAAAATATATATATTAAATTAGAAAAATTTATATTATATTCGATTTAGTTTTGTTACTGCATAAAAATTTCCTCAACTTCAGCTTTTAAATAAAACTTAGGTTTAAAAAAATTGTATTGAAGAAGGAAAAAAAAAAGAAAATACCCCTTAGTTATATATGTAATACTACTTTGTAAACATGTATTTTTTTAGGATTTTATCTGTGTAAGATGCGATACATTTTTTTAAAAATTAATGCGATAGAATTAAATAAAAAGAGGAAAAAAATTAAAATTAGATAAAAATAATTAAGGATGATAAAACAAGAATTTTTATAAATTTTATTTCCAAAACAAACAGAAACAATCTGGATTTGATAATTTTAAGATCATTAATAACAGATAATTAGTTTCTTAAATATAAGTATTTTTTTATAAAGAAAACCACGCGTAATATCTCGAATATCATGACAAGAAAAACAAAAATTTGTTAAAAAGATAAATAGCAATTTAGTTACAATTAATAACATGCTTATTTAATTGGAACTGTGTAATTATAGAAACGACATTGGAATTTAAATTCTATGCCAAAAAAATCGAGTTAAATCAAGATAAATTACATAACTCGCTTGAATCAAATAGATGTAAACTAAGCTTGTTCTTATTTTTAGTATAAGAAAATACTGAAAAGCTGAGTTCTTTATTCAAGAAAGCAAGATAATTCTATAATAGTTGAATTGTTAGATATATAAAATGAAGACTATTTATCATCATTTTCAATAAAATATATTTCTAGAATTTAAAAATAAAATTTTAGAAAATTGCATTTATAGATAGAATTTTTATTGAAAATAATTTCCGCTATAAGAAACATTATAGTCATACACAGTGTATGTTAAAAATATTTTGTATTCACATTTAGAAAGTAAAATTTAACTAGTTATATTAGCAAATAAGATTGACATATAAAACGCAATCTAATTTTTTTAAAAATAAAAATTTGGCGTTGATAATTAGCTAATTGAAAATGAAAATTTTGCTATTTTTACTCTTAAATTTATTTTTTATTGATTTACAGTAGAGCATCGATTATCCGACTCAATTGGGGACTCAGGTTGATCGGATAACCGAAAAGAATGAAAAAATACATTATTAGTATAGTATATTAGCATATTAGTATATCCCATATAATTAGTATATTAGTATATCGCTATTAACATACTTCACGTTGAATTTTCATCGATGTTAAGCGTAACAAATTTTTTTAAAAATAATAATCGTATCTATTGTATCGTTAAAAATTATTTTTAAATTATTTTATTGCTCACAAAACAAACAATCACTCATAATTAGAAAATTAAATCTCGTTTAAATACTGGCCTCCCTTCAATGGTCGAGCCGTTAATGCCAGCTAAAACACGCAAAAATTTAACAAAAATAATATTAAAGTAGCCAAGACATAGCCAAATATTGTAATGCTACATCACTAGCGGACATTTGAAATTTGCCTACTAGAACGGTCGGTTAACTGATGTGACGGTTAATCGGGGGTCGGATAATCGATGCTCTACTGTAGTTTACTAATCTTTTAATTCTTCTAATATTTGATTAATTAATTATTTACAAAATTTTAAATTTATGAACAACTTAGAACATTTTTTTAATTGTATATAAAATTATAATTAATTAGATTGTTCATAATTTAATTTATAATTATTGTAACTTTTTACATACATATTAATAAAGATATTTTGATATTAGTATATCAAAGTTGAAAAAGACGATATTATTTTACAGAAAATAAATACATGGTACTGTTATCCGGAGAATTATTACTACATGAAACAGTCGAATCCTATGGAACGTCAAGTTTCCATTGCAAGACACGTCATCATTTGACAGGCGAATATTCGGTTAGCACTACTTCCGGGAAAATTGTCGTGACAGGTATTTGAATTTCACTTTTCACTGGAATGTCATTCATATAGCATACTTCCTTCAGCTCTTATTCTAACTCAGCTTTTTTTTTCGCGAAAACAAAAAATTACTTTAAGATCTTTCATGGTCTTAGAAAGAAACTCCAGTTTAATTTACTTATATATTTTATATAATCTATCAATAAATATATCTCAACAGAAATTTTAAATATAATATTTTTTCAATGTATTTGCATTTTTAGAACCACATACTTCCACATTACCCAGAGTGACGTTTAACTTATCTCAACTTCGAGTAACTCAAGGAGAAACAGCGCAGCTTCCATGTGTAGCACAAAGCTATCCTGCACCAACCTATAAGTGAGAAATATAGAAAATAAACTTCTAAAAAATGTTAACTAAAGATAATATTAAATTATTTAAAGTTAATAAACAGTTATTATATTTCTTTAATATAAATAGATAATATTGGTAAGAATATATTGTCTGTATGTATTATTTGTGGCTAAGAATGCAAAGAAATATTAATACATTAAAAAATAAATTTGTAATTAATATTTTCTTTTTCTAGTTTAGGAATTTAAAATTATGTTTTAATATTTAAAATAATGAACAATTTTTATCTGAAATTATAACAAATTTTAAATGATTTAAAATGTAATTAAATATGATTATATATCAATTATTTAAAATAATGTAAATAAATAGAATAAAAGTGCACTCTAAAATCGTAAAAAATTTGTATATTAAATATTTAATATAAGCTTTCATTATTTCATGAATTTTCGTATTCATACAAGTAAACAATTTAAATATTAATATGAATTCAAATAAAAATTCAGCTTCTCTTTTCTGTGTAAAGATGGATGAAAGAAGTCAGATCCACCTTAAGTCAAATAGTAGAAGGGAAACGTATTTGGATATCTCATGGAGTCTTGACAATTAAAAAAACAAAAATGGAAGACAGCGGAAAATTCGTTTGTATTGTCAAAAATAGCGCCGGTGAAAACAGAGCTGAAACTAATCTCATTGTCTCTGGTAAGGATCCATGTATACCATCAACTTTAATTTTAATTCTGCAAAACTTCCCTGCACATTCTCTTGTGATTTATATTGTTTAACTTTATCCTATTTGTTTTCTAAAGGTTATTTTTAGTCTTCTTTAATCACTTTTTTCTTAATTGTAAATCATATAAATATATTTTAGCCAATTAAAAACATTTAAATTAATAGAAGAAAAATTGCATTTAAATTTAAAGATTTTATACAATTATAATAAAATTTTTACTGTTTTTATTTTTCACAAACCATTCAATTAAATTATACACATAGAATACATTTATTTAAATATAGAAATTTTAAAAATGAAAATATCAAACTTTGTTTTAAATATTAATTTCTCTTCTAAATTACCAATTTGATTTATTTCGAATCATAATATAAGCTGCTAATGTTTTATTATAACCATAAATAGTAAAGGAGTGGTCGAATAATTCGAGTAATTATCGTTAGCGAGGAAATAATTATATTTTTAATATTGTAAAGAGATATATTTATAGTTTTTCTGTCTTGAATAATTGCCTAACTTTTTAATAAATGATATAATTTAGACATTCATATCTTTATGAAAGATAATCTTTGAATAATTTTAAATTAAAGAAACTATAAAGAGTTTAAATTCAAGAAAAATTGTTTTATTTGCTCCACGAAGATTGTTTGAAATTGCTTCTTATAAAATGAAAGTCAAAGAGAAATTCGAATTATAGGGAATTGAATTACTCCTGGATCTTATTTTTTTTTCTTCCTTTGCTATACTTGAAATTTTCAACCTGTTACTCATGTTCTTGATTATATTCTAGTCTATATTTTTGTTGTCTGAATTCTTTTCTATCTGAATAAAACCAATTTAAAAGTTAAATTATTATCTGAGAATTCGTTAGCTGTACTGAACACTTAAATTTAATTTTTAATAACAAATTTTAATAGATAAAAGTTAATTATCAACATACATAATTGCAATAGAAGAATCCAAGTTTCATATATATAAATAAAAATCAATGATTAAAGGAAACTGATAATAACAATTACGAACATAATATTAATTGCTATAAAATTTAATAAAAATTACTTAAGATGATGATATAATTTTAATTAGTGCCTGTTTTGTGTATTAGCCTATAACCTGAATATAATTATTATAACAAAATATAATCATAATTATAATTACTAAATGGATAATATTGAGTAAAAGAAAAGAAAATATTTATCATATGTTATTCTTTTATTTATGTCTTATCCACAATAGTTGTTTTGATATTAATGATGACAAACAATGAAACTTACCACCTGCTATCAATTTTCGACGAGAGACTTTTACTTGATTAGATCTATCTATAGGTTGCCAAATAACATCTATCCATTGAGACATAGGAATTCTGTATCCACTACTAACAAGTATTCATCTCTCTGCTTTCTAGATGCCATCAACTTTTTGGAAACCACACCCTAAGATTATGAATGATCCTTTTCTTTACTTTCATCGTTCATATCAAATAAGGGGACAATTTACTGAATACCTCTACAATCTTATAAAGAAAGGTTAAGTAACAAGGATCATCTAACCCACAGGTGTATAGTAATGGCAGACATCATTGCCTACCCTAAGTCTACAAGTCGGATATTATTTATTATATTACATTTGTCAATATGTTAGAGTTGTGATAGAATAATAAATTTTATTGTTCATTTTTTTAATTTTAATTAAAATTTGTGTATTCTACGAATAATTTTTAACAGATTAATAATTTTTTATGAGGAACAATAAGTAAATTATTTCGTTTTTTTTAATTTTCTATTCTTGCATATTGAATTGTTTAATACTTTTATCATTTTTTATAAGTTAATTTTCGTTTTGTAGATTAGAAATTTTTTTTTAATTTTTGATTTTCTTGGTAGCAAAAAATCAGAATTACTAGAATAGAAAAATTATTAACAGAAATCACGCAAAGATAACATGAAATAAATATCTTTTCATTTACTTAAACAATGGATAGAACTGACAAAATGTCATTTGGAATGTAAAGAATTCAATAAATAATATGTAATTTAAAAAAGAAATGGAAAAAATTTTTACTTAGATATGTGTGATGAAACTTGTTGAACTGTAAGAATTCCAGTCATCAATATTTTCTTCCATTATTTTTTGTTTTATTTAAAAAATTCAGTATTTGTTAGCAGCATCACTATTATTTTACCTGTACAGAATAATAAAAAAATGATGGTTGTTAAAATGTTGTTGTTTATCATCTGAGAAATTAAAATAATCCTGATTTTAATTATAATTTCTAATATAAAATGTAATTAAAATAATTAGGATTTAAAAATTAGCTTGACAAAATAAGCGATCACAGAAATTGAATGCTTACTGTTGATCAGTTTATACTGTTTAAAGTATTTTCGTATAAGCAACGATGGATTAAAGTTACGATCTAAAATGAGGATTTGGCTAATTAAATTCTCGCGTCATTTGTTCTTTAGATTGATTTTACTGAAAAATATTCTAAAATAAATTTCAAATGGCAATTTTATTCCCTTCGACGACGTCGTTATTGACATTAAAACTAATTAATGTACGATAAAAGGATGTCAAGTAAGTGCATTTTGAAGTCGACAGTGACAATAATTAAAGGAATAACTTTAAAAAACTCTATAAATAATGAATGAAATTTCAAAGAAAGCGAATTTGTGTCATTTATATCTAAAAAAATATCAGAGAAAATATTCGCAGTCGCTCATAAGCTGTTTTGTATTTATGATAAGCTAAATTCATTTTAATATTAAGATATTTACTTTGGATATAGATAAAAATAAATTGAGAAATATATTTTATATAAGATAAAAAGTAAGCTTAATTAATTTATAAGTAGGAAAATAGATTTTTAAATCTCAAAATAATATAAATCTGTCTCTTAATAAGCTATAATCATATAAATTAATCTTCTTAAAAGCTTATTTACTTATTTTTTTAGTTAAAATTGTTTTTAAATTAAAATTATTATTCATAAAATCTATTAAAAGAACTTTCGGGATAAGCATTGTTATTATACATTATTAAATTTGAATTAGGTATGTCAGGAGAATTTAAATTATAATAATAACTCTTAATCAGTATACAAATATTAGATATGTATTGATTTGTTGTTCATTTATTTTTATCATTATCAATATTAAATTGTATATAATTAGATTTTCATTTTTATCTCAATTATATTCATTTATTTTTTAAATTTCAGCTCCTCTAACGGCATACATTTATCCTTCGATGCTCGTTATCGATATCGGCAGACAAGCCACATTTAACTGCACAGTAACAGGTTATCCCATCCATACGGTAGTTTGGAAAAAGGACGAGAAACTTCTATCCCCTAGTTCTAGGATAAAATTTCCAACTAAAAACATATTACATATAGAAGCAGTGAGTAGAGATGACAAAGGAATGTATCAATGTTTTGTTTATAGTGATCAAGATTCCGCTCAAGCAACGGCAGAACTTAGTATTGGAGGCACGTAATGTTTAAAAACTTCCTAAAGCCTAAGAGAAAAAATGAAATAAGTATAAACAGTAATGGAAAAACTAAGTTGTGTGCTAAATATATTGGATATCTCATGGAGTCTTGACAATTAAAAAAACAAAAATGGAAGACAGCGGAAAATTCGTTTGTATTGTCAAAAATAGCGCCGGTGATATAATTTTACATGTTTAATATATTTTTATCTAAGTAAAGCTACATTCAAAAGAGGAAGTATATGTAATAATGTATTATATACATTTAATTTAAAAGTATGACAAAAGCAGTAAAGGCAAATTAACAAGTTATAACAACTTCTATTCAAATCTATTCGCTTAAAGGAATCTTTTATTTAAAAAAATCAGCAAATTGAAATCCTTGTTTGAAATATAAGTAAAGTAAATATTTTAAGAGATGGGATATTAAATAAATATTTTGGTAAGTTTTCACACATCATTTTCAGTATCTTCACGTTTGCAAAGTCGTAATTGTTAGTGCTATATTTTTTTATGTTGACCGATCTTAGAAAATAAAATAGATTTGTAGTAAGAAGTAAATTTCGAATTGTCAAAGGTGCCGTATCTATTTGTTTTTTAACATCATTTGTTCAGCATTATTTCAATATATTTCAATATATTATTCGCTCTAGTTGATGAATATTGCTTTATAAAAACACTTTCCACAATAAAAATTTATCGATATTATTACTTATAAATATAATATAATATATAATATAATATAATATAAGTAAAAATGTCAATAAACTTTATATTGTGAAGCGTGCTTCTTATGTAATATAATTTATTTTTTATTGTATTATCAGCTCTTAAAAATGTAAAATACTTGCATCTGACTTTTTAAATATAAATTTAGGTAGAAATATTTTGGATTTATTCCTTTAAATAAAAATTTTATAAATTTTAAAAATTAATATATATTTATATTGGACTATTTTATATAACATTGCTACACTTGACGGTTCAATTAGTGTCATCGATCGTCGATACTCCATATAGCCTATACTAATAAAAAGACAAAAAAATCCAAAGTTATCTTAACTTGAACAAAAACCTTCAAAGTTTTCTAACATGAAACAATGTCGGATGAGATTTTATTAGTTTAGCGACAGTTTTTCTCCAGAAGACGGAGTTTTATCGCTAACTGGATGCCACCGATTTTCTCCTATATCCGTTAGTGGCTGACAGTATCGTTCTTGCTGAAAGGATATTGTGTGTTTTGACATTACTCTCAGCTTAACATAAAAACATTGTAGATAAGAACACTTAGGAGAACCAACTTTAAGCGAATTTAATACATGTTGCAAGGAAATACTGCAATATTAATTTTTACGCGTATTTTAAAGCTTTTAGCGCCTTTGTCATAAAATGTTTAATGATGGCTATTTACTACCAGAGGTACAAAGTTTATAGCTAGGAAACATTTGCTAGAACAATACTTTTTGGTTGTGTATATAATATATATAAAAAGAACGACTTATTTTTTTATATAAAAATCAAGTTAGATAAGGTAAGTGTGACATGTAACATCAATAATAAAATTTATCAGATTTTTGTTCGTATATATATTGGAAATGCTTAAGAAATGATGATTAAAATAAAAATAAATTTTACTAAGTTCTAAAACTTAATGTCATTTTCATGGATATGGATGATAAATATGCGATATATAAATATGAAATTGCTTTAAGCAAACAGTAAATTGTCTTTAAAGTAAGGCAATTACATATTCATCTGATTGTTATTGATAAAAATTGCAGGCAATTGCATACATAATAAAATTTTAATTATTTTTCATATTCTATAAGGTATTCCAATTAATAGTTTGATTCGTTCGATGTCATATTTTAAATATATATATTAATATTTCTCGTAATTTTTGATAGTTGTTTGCTATCAATTTTAAAATATTTCACAATAATATTACAATTATTCGCAAATCATTTATAACAAACTATTGCTTATGTAAAATGAATTTATCTAAGCTTATTAAAATTAAATTGCATATTATTTAATTTAAGCATCAAGTTGTGGTTAATAGATTATCTTATTTCCTATATAAAAACTTATAAGGTATTTATTTATTTATTTTCTAGTTAAAATAGTTTTTAAGTAAACAATAAATAAATAAATAAATATACTAAATCCAAATTTAATATTGCCTAATGTATAGCCTACTTAAATTCATATATAAGTTTACTTCAGTTCTTTTATTATTAATAAAAATAATTTTAAAAATATTTTTTATTTTTATTTTATAAAATCTTAAAATAAATTTTTAAATTGTTATTTGAAAAAAAACATTGCTATTTTGGTATAGGTTCAATCTATTTCCAGCTTACAGTTTTATATTAGTTTCTAACATAGATATATTTTCTATATTGTATATCTATGTACAATATTTTCTATATTGTATATTGTATATATTGTATATTTTCTATATTGTATAATAGGTTTATTAACTTGCTATACAACTTACATTAAATATTAAAAATGATTCATATCTAAATAAACCTATCATTACTTGAGTAATATTCTATCATTGATTATTATTAGATATATATCATGCTGTAGATCAGTTCATTAATATCATCTGTACATAAACACACAAAATTAATCGCGTATCGTAAATTATAATGTCTGTTAATATACTATATAAGTAACAATCTATCTGAGAATAAGAAATTACATTAATTTTTATATCTGTTTAAGAGTAAATACTATTTTGGTTTGCTTTTTAAACTATATTTTTCTATAAAATATATAATGTAGTTTATATTTATTATAAATTTAAACATAAAACAATTTTTATTTAGAAAAAAAATGATGGTCTAAGTATAAAAATATGATAGGAAACGAAGCAAGTATCTGTAATTAATCATTTTAAATTATTTTATAATTTATTATAGTATTTAAGTTTTATTTTTGAATAATTACATTAGGAGGTAAATTTGCAGAATAATTAATTCTCTATTCTTTAATGATTTAATGAAAAATTTTCTAAATTAATGAAAAATAATAAGCATTAAAATTTATTAATATGGTAGCTTACGTTTATATTCTAAAATGACTTTTATATATTATTAAAGGTATTAAAATATTGAATTAAAAGTTTCTTTTTTATAACAATATTTAAATATGTCTTAAAACTTAATTTATACATTAAATTTTATATTTAGAAAGTTTGTTAAATAGTTTATTTGGATTTTATTTCATGTTTTATATGGATTTTATGGATTTTTTTGCAAGAGAATTTGTCGAATTTTTGAATTGTTATTTTTTATAAATCTATACTTTGAAGAAGAATTTCTATTTTATCAATTGGAATATTTCTAAAAAGTTTTCAATATGTTTGCAAAAATATCTCATTTAAAACTACTGATTTTTAATTGATAATAATCAGATAAATGCCGAAACTCCTTTCATGATAAATGAAATTCTTGTAATTTCGTAATGTTTAAAACATTTTCTAAGAAACAGGAGAAGATAATCACATTTAGGTATTTAAACATTCCGCATCAAAAGAGGTCAAGTCGTGACAAAGAATAATGAAAATAAATGATTCATTATTATTACTAATTAATTAAACTCAATAGTTTAAATATAGAGAAAGATAATCATATAATTCTCTTAAAGTATTAAACATTATTATTAATAAAATTTAATCTTAAAAGTTAAGAAAAATTCGATTATATTTCTGATAGATTTTCGCAGATAGATATGCTAGTGATCTATAAACTAATGTTTATATATGGTGTTGAGTAAACGTGAGTTTACGTTTAGGTATGTCGCAAGAATAAAATATAGATTTTTCTCCCATAGGAGTAAGAAGGAAAGGGCTATGTATGTTTTGTTATTTCTAAATAAAAGTAACATTTTAAGAGAAAAACATTATTAAATATGAAAATTACTTGTATAAGTTTCAAAAATATCAGTCAGCATTATTACGTATATATATATATAACATTTTTAAAAAATTGTGTTTTTATCGCATATTTGTTGCTTATCCTTTTTTTCTATCAACAGAAATAGTGATATTTTGGAGATTAACCTTTTTATTCTTTATAGATGTAATAATAGTAACGTAATAGCTTCGTCATCATTTCGTAACAATAAAGAAATGATGATTTGTAAGGGTACATAATAGAGATATAACGTAATAATGATATAAATTTACTCGGATAGAATACAGGATAATGGTAGGGGATTTTCGTCCAATGTGGCAACAAAATAGCTATAATAAAGAAAAGTAAAATTTGATCTAGAATTTTCTTCTTGAAAAAAATACGTGAAAAATACTAGCGATTCTTAAAATTTTCAATTCTAGTTTCACTTCGTAGAACATGATCTTTGAAGTTTCTGTCTTTGTAATAGTTTAAAATTATATCTCAAGGCTTGAACAGGATTGGAATTTTTATAAGTTTTTTTTGTCTTGCTGTATGTCTTTCCACTTCTCTTTGAATAAAGTAAAAATTGAGTTGTGAAATAACGGAAATCAACAAATACTTCACTGTACTTTTTTCCTCTTCTTCACATATTCTATAGTGTTGATATTTCTAACAAGTGTTTACAGCTTTTTGATGATTTACATTCATTTCTAGTTTTTCTAAACTAAGTTTTTTAAAAATATATATATTAAATTAGAAAAATTTATATTATATTCGATTTAGTTTTGTTACTGCATAAAAATTTCCTCAACTTCAGCTTTTAAATAAAACTTAGGTTTAAAAAAATTGTATTGAAGAAGGAAAAAAAAAAGAAAATACCCCTTAGTTATATATGTAATACTACTTTGTAAACATGTATTTTTTTAGGATTTTATCTGTGTAAGATGCGATACATTTTTTTAAAAATTAATGCGATAGAATTAAATAAAAAGAGGAAAAAAATTAAAATTAGATAAAAATAATTAAGGATGATAAAACAAGAATTTTTATAAATTTTATTTCCAAAACAAACAGAAACAATCTGGATTTGATAATTTT